CAGTGGAAGAACACGCATCATGAGCTGCGAACTTTTAAACCCTGCGGTTTCACCATACTGAAATAGCACGTTAAAACGCGTTTTTCAAACACGGATTGACCAGCTGACAATCGGCTTTTGGCTCCCTTCCCACTTGCAAAAAAGCTGTGTCTAACCCCATGCTGGCCAGCTGCATGGCTTCACTCCCCCCGCAATGGCGTATCTGGTTACACTGTCACGCAGGGTTAGCGTTGATGATGTCACCAGTGCGACAGAAATCAGGAAAATAAATAATGGAGAGCAAGTGTAAGTAAGCCAAGGCGTTGTCGGGCTCTATTATTTGTCTGAATCCCTCTTACCAGTGCTCTTTCATGTTTATCAAATGTAAACGGAGTTGTTTTCGGCTTCTTATATCATAAACAACTGGATCGGTGTGTTGACGACAGTACGTTAGGTTCAATGGTATTACATAATTTCATTTGTTTGACCCAGGTAGGCAGGCATCTGTTAGCTGTTCCCACTGCCACTTAAAGCTGATTTTTCATGGTTTTAAATGTGTTTTTCAGCCGGTTGTGATTTTTCATGGTTTTAAATGTGTTTTTCAGCCGGTTGGATAGAGGAAATGGTCTGACATGTAATAGCAGCAGACGTGGTTGTAAAGAGCAATTATGGTAATTAGAAAATCCACTTTTGGCATCCCCCAAAGCTGCTATTGATTCTAACACGCCCCATAAGCATCTATAACCATATTGCTAGCTGTTGATATTATTTACAGCTCAGTGTTTTAGAACATGACTGTATTTGCACAGGTTTATAGCTGCCTGATAATTTTCCTACATCTATGCAGTTCTCCGCACATTACTCACATTTTTTCCTGTTTTCCTTTTTGAACATTTTTATACATTTTCCTTTTGAACATTTAATAGGAATAGGACGTTTTAATAAGTAAAGTGTTTTCTTTCCTTAGATCCCTGTTTCTCCTTCCCTGTGCAATTGATTTTTACCATTTTTTATAGTCTTCTGTTTAGCTTTTTGCTGCCAATTTGCTTAGCCAGGATTTTAGCTCTCTGTTATCTCACCTGACAGGAACTCTTGGATTTTTTTGTTGATCTTCTTATTCAGCTTCTTCTGCAAAGCAAAAACACGGCAAATTCATTATTTAGTCATTACTTTATACAGATCGGTGCCGGGAAGAAAAAGAAAATATATTTCCTTACATTAAATACAGATTTAGATTCAACTTGACAGCTAAAACAGAGAAGAAAAATGTCAAAAGGAATAAAATGCTCCATATGTGCACAATCCAATAACCCCTCGTGTTTCTGTGTTTCCATACTTGAAGTCTTTAGAAGGCAAAAAAAGGCGATCTCCTTCAATGGTTATCATCATACTTCCAGGACAGACCTGTAGCAGAAATGGAGATCATTGAGAAGAAAGCAATAGTCGTCCACATTGCAAAAACATTTAGAAATAAGTAATTTTTTCTTAAGTTAAGTGTTTTTACCCTTAATTCAAGTAGATAATAAGATTATTTTGTCATGATCTGGCCTGTTTGCTCTCCCTTAATTCGTTTTCCCTCCCTGCCTCAATTATAATTTATTCCTCTCACCTGTTTCCTCTGGTTTA